ATTGGACTAGTAGTGGTTTGCGAATACTTGTAAGTGAAAAGTGGCGGTCAAAATACTTGTAAGTTTTTCGTGTTAGTGAAACTCTTTTAAATTGAAGATAACTGAACGTAATTTATGTTTAAGCAAATATCAATATAAAAATATTTATGTTTCCTTTTTCCTGTGTTTGCACCTTTGCAAAACATTTTAATAACTTATAACTTCTTTATTCATTAGGGGAAAAGGTTTTTGAAAATTCTTTTCACACACATTCAACTTTCTTTTGTGTGTTTCTTTCTCTTTCAACTTTTATCCGAAAATTTTTTAATTTTTTAATTTAATCAAAACTTTGCAATTTAATGATAACGAGAGAAAAGTATTTTGGAGTAAAATAGTGTTATACAACCTCCCCTTGATATATATATATATATATATAATTTTTTTATTTATTATAAATTAGACAATGACATAAAGATTTAAGACTCCTCCGTCAGACGCCGTAAGCAGCCACTGATTCTGAAGGCGGCAGTTTTTTTTTTTTTTCCCCTCCTCTTCCTCGTCTTCCCCGTCGTCTACCACCAATACAAAACAACCATCAAAATGAAAACAAAAATTGAGAAAGAAAAAATATGGAAATGCTTCCGCATCCCCCATTCCTTGTTTCCTTTTCTTTCGTGCCTTTATGGGCACTCTCAACACAAATTACAAAACAAAAAAAAATTCGATTTAAAAAAACCTACTCCGCAAGCAAGAGCACTTTATCTCTCAAATAACTTAAATTCAAAAGAGTAAAGTGGTATGTACATTGAGTTCATGTCCAGCCGGTCCGAATCTTAAGTTGGATCGGTTATGCAGTCGACCCGTTTCAAATCGGATTGAACTGGTCAATTTTCCGGTTCAACCGGTGAACCGGTGGGTCAAACCGGTTCAACCATTTTTTTTTTCTTTTTCTTTTTTCTAAATTTTTTTAAGGGACCATAAATCACAAAAAATAATAATGAAAATTGAATCTCTTAATGAAAAAGCAAGGAGTCTTATTAAATATAACAATGACTACTTGTTCTAATATATTTGTTTGTAATATATACAACTTAAATAACTTTTATAATATATTATTAATTTTAAATTATATATTTAATAATGCAATATCTATGTAAATATTACATATATTATTTTGTGATATTAATTGCAAGCATATTATATATGTACATATTATTTATATTTTTAATTTGTATTAATATACCGTTTAACATGTAAATTTTTTATGTATTTTTTTACAAAATAAAAATAAAAATAATTTTAAATAAGATAGAAAAATTGAAATTTAAAATAAGATATGAATTTATTAAAATTTATAAGTATAAAATATATTTAATATAAATATTTTTTAATAAAAATAAATAAAAACCGAGTCATGCGGTTCAACTAATGACCCATCGGTTCAACCTTTGACCCACTAACCCAGTACCTTAACCGGTTCGATGACCGGTCCAGTTTTTAAAACTATGGTTCATGTCATCAAATCTTACTAAAGAGAACAAGTTAATAACTTTTGGTCAGAGAACCATATAATTATTTTTTTAAAATAACCTTAACATTAATAAATCTCTTATTTTACCAAATACTGCTTCATGAATTAAGAAAAATGACTTTAATTAACAGTAATTTTTTATAAAAAAATCAACACGAGATATTTTATATTGATCTTTATGAATAAAAAAAAATCAAACAATACTTTTTGAGGAAGTAATTTTTTTATTAAGTGATAATAAAAAATATTTACGTTGTTAGTATAAATTTAATTAAATTCATTAATATTATTATAATAAATTTGGGGAAATGTCATTATAATTAGTTCTTATTTTATTTACTAAATGTCTTAGTTCAAGTCAACACAATCTCATTCTATTTAAGCTCAATTTTAACTAAATATGTATGTTGTTGAATTTTTAAGGTTTGGAGAGGTTTTAATCTAAAATTTCAAGTTTTTTTTATTTTTTTTTATTTTCAAGAAAAAAATATCAAAATTATTATTATTTTAATATTTTAATATAACATTTCTTTTTTCATCATTACCTCTAATAATATTTTAAAAAAAATTATTATTGTGTTGTATTGTTTCAAATAAAAAAATTAATTTATTAAAATTACTTCTTTTTTTTTATCTATTTATTATTTTTTCCATATCTGTATAACGATATGTAACATAACACTTATTATGATATGCAACAAGTATATGACATCAAATATAATTATTGATTCAAATGTACTCATGTCTATATACATATTTGGGATTTCTTCGTTTCAATCATTTTCTTTAGTTTCAAAACAATAAAAAAATGTTTTTATATTCGATAAAAATAGAATAAAATATTTTTAAAAATTGAAAAATATTGTTATAAATTATTGAGAATAAAATTTTCCTATCACAATTAAGTATAAAATTATTAAAAAAATAATGATAATGGACAATAAACACATTTTATAATTGTTTTGAAAATCTTATTCTTAAAAAGGAGAGTTTTAGTAAAACATTAAAAACAAATCCTTACATGAAAGATGAGAAGGCAAAGAATAGATAGAGTTATCCAATTTGATTACGCGGCACCTACCCAGGAAGTCAGCTGGCATGTTATTCGAGTTTGGTAATTTCCTAAGAAAATTGGGAATTCCTAAGAAAAACGGAAGGCAGATGGTAAGTGCCACCTAAGAATCCACAAATAGAGATAAATGTACAATCTACTTTTGGAGTCTTCCCTAACATCCTTGTCTGTTTGTCTTTATAGAATAAGATAATAGCAATTGTATTGTATGGTCTTTGGAAATAAAACAAAACCATTCCTTGGGAGCTTTCTTGCCCTTCTCACTCACCCCGCTAGGAGACAAATCTGAGGCCAATGTTTGTCTTTGCTAAGGCATGTTTGGATTCTTGCAACCTTAGGGAATATTAAAACCCCTTTGGCCAGCCCCGATTCCCTATCCACCCAAGGTAAAGACAAAAGAAGGCGTCTAAAACACAACCCTTACTCCGCAAACAAACACGTTTTCTAACCACTAACGAGTGAAGTGAAGTGAAGTGAAGTGAAGTGAAGGACAACAAAAGAATAAAGACAACACAACAGAACCCACCCCTTCACGCATTACACGCATCACGCATAACGTTCTCTTCCCTTCCCTTCCCATGAACACCACCTACATTGATTTCCTCTCCCACGCCAATACCCCTTTAACCGCTTCTGCCTTTTTCAGTCTGTTCCCACTCCCAAGCTTTCGCCTTTTCATGGGCCTTTCTCTCGCTTCCTCTTCAATTTCAAAACCCATCAACGGTTTCCCTTTTCCTCGTTCGGTTCCGTTTATGCGCTGTCGGTAGGGTTCCCCTTTTCCAGTTTTTCTCATCACCGCTTCCGTAACTTTCTGCTCAATTTAGTGGAAACCATATCCTTTTATCCTCAAACGCCTTTATAATCACCATTCACCTCTTTTCTGTTCATCCCAAGATTGAAGATTCTTTACATGGAATCCATGTTTCAAGAAGAAGGGTCGTCTTCTGTGACTTCTTCACCTCTTCAGTTCTTTTCCATGATGTCTCTTTCACCTGGCATAGGATCTCCCTATCCTTGGCACAGAGAATTGAAATCTGAGGAAAGGGGTTTGTGTTTGATCCATTTGCTGCTCACTTGTGCAAATCATGTGGCTGCTGGTAGCCTTGAAAATGCAAACACCATTCTTGAGCAGATTTCACAGCTTGCATCTCCTGATGGAGATACTATGCAGCGAATCGCTTCATACTTCACTGAAGCACTCGCTGATCGGATACTCAAAACATGGCCTGGCCTCCACAGGGCTCTCAATTCCACCAGAATAGTTATGGTTTCTGAAGAAATTCATGTTCAGAAGCTCTTCTTTGAGCTTTTCCCCTTCTTGAAGGTGGCCTATATTTTGACAAATCAGGCTATTGTTGAAGCCATGGAAGGGGAGAAAATGGTGCATATAATTGATCTCAATGCTGCCGAACCGGCGCAGTGGATTGCTCTCCTCCAAGTTTTGAGTGCACGCCTTGAAGGCCCTCCACATTTGAGAATTACTGGGGTCCATCAGCAGAAGGAGGTTTTGGATCAGATGGCTCATAAACTCACTGAAGAGGCTGAAAAGTTGGATATTCCATTCCAATTCAATCCTATAGTCAGCAAGTTGGAAAATCTTGACTTTGACAAACTTCGTGTGAAGACTGGGGAGGCACTAGCAATAAGTTCTATTCTGCAGCTACATTCCCTTTTGGCCTTGGATGATGATGCCTCGCGGAGAAAGTCTCCTCTTTTGTCCAAAAATTCGAATGCAACTCACCTGCACAAGGTCCTGCTGATGAACCAAAGCACTCTGGGTGATTTGCTTGAAAAGGATATGGTTAATGGCTACAGCCCTAGCCCTGATTCCGCCTCGTCCTCGCCGGGGTCGTCAACTGCTTCCATGAATTCAGAGAGCTTTCTCAATGCCTTGTGGGGGCTATCACCAAAGGTCATGGTTGTAACTGAGCAAGACTCTAATCACAACGGTTCAACCCTGATGGAGAGGCTGCTAGAAGCTCTATATTCTTATGCAGCATTGTTTGATTGTTTGGAGTCCACTGTGTCAAGAGCATCCTTGGAGAGATTGAAGATTGAGAAGATGCTTTTTGGTGAGGAGATCAAGAACATCATAGCTTGTGAGGGATCTGAAAGAAAGGAAAGGCATGAGAAGATGGATAAGTGGTTCCAAAGGCTTGATTTGTCTGGCTTTGCCAACATACCTTTAAGCTATTATGGCATGTTGCAGGCGAGGAGGTTCCTGCAGAGTTATGGTTGTGAGGGATATAGGATGAGGGAGGAAAATGGTAGTGTAATGATTTGCTGGCAAGACCGCTCCTTGTTTTCTACAACAGCTTGGAGATCAAGGAAGTGAGTAAGACTGATGAAGTATGAAAAAGAAGAAAAATAGAGATGTAGTAATTGATAGAATCTATATTAAGTTTTTTCTTTTTCTTTGTTTGTAATTGTATGAAAGAGTTTTACCAATATGGTAATGAGTAATGACTAATGGTGAAGATCAATTTAGAGATACTTCTATTTCCTTATTTCCGAGTTAAATTGAAAGAAATGGGGAAATGGAAAAGTGTGAGAGAATGAAACACTTATTTGTGGCTGTGTTCATCTTTCCATTGTTTAGTACTATGCTCATTTTGTTTTTAACTGACTTCTATACTCTAACCTGTTTGTATCTGGAATGTGGATGAGCTAATTTTCTCATTTGCCTGGTCGGTATAAGTTGATTTTTCAAATTTCAGACTTGCATTGATTCTCATTCTCCTCCATAGCCCCCAACCACCAGCGTCTCTTTCTGACAATTCCTGCATTATTTGATTAGATAACAACCGTTCATTGGAACAGCCAAAAGAATAAGATTGGGAAAAGAGAAAGATAGTGCTCATGTTTCTATTTTCTTTTAGACATTCGGAAGTTTACTCTCATCAATATTTTTTTGTTGGCTGTGTAAATTAGAATCTCGAGTTGACTTCATATTTAAGCCTCTATCTTTATCTAAAGAACACAAATGTTAAATCACCGAACAATATTTTAAAGAGTATACATGAATATTTATAATTTTATATAATGTATGCATCTTATTTTCACTTGCTGCTTCTTGTTTAGTTTTCTTTTTTACTATAAAATACTAGAATGATAAAAAAAAATATATAATGTTATCCACCCTGCACACATACATTTGCATTTTTTGTACAATTATGTTTGAAAGTATGAAGGCCTATAATTGTTTAACATTCTCAGCACGAGTTTACAGATCCATTCCTAGCTAGTGGTTTAACTAACGTCTAGCTATAGCCAACCAAACTACTTTGGTTTTATTTTTTTATTTTGAGAAAGATTCATTCCAATTTATTAAGCTTCGTGATTCGCTAAGTGTGTTAGGTAATTAGGATAGATCGGAAAGGCATAAGGCAGACTTTTCATGTGTTTGGAAACACCGTAATCACGTAAAAGAACCACCCCAATTTACTAAAATACGCAAAAAGCTATAGACAGGTTTTCTTTCAAGTAATCCTTTTCTATTTTTGGGAATACCAAAGTAAGAAATATTTATTTTTATGTTTGTTAAAAAGCTATTCTTGTGTATGTTTTATTTTTAGGAATATAAAACTTTCTTATTTATATGTTTCTCATTTTCATGATGAATGAATGATGAGGATTTTATATTTCATGAAAATGAAAGTTACTTTTTTTTTCCTAATAACTACTTATTCTCACTTATTAGTCCACATTTCTTCGCTCGTTTTCATTTTCTTAATTTTTTTAATTAAATATAAAAAATATTTTTATAAATGTCAACCAAACATGCTCGAGAATAACACTCATTGATATAATATTCTTGGAAATGAGATCCCAAAGATATAATGTTATACCTTGAAATAATCATCCCATGTGTTTTTAATTTGCGATTCGCACATTGTTCAAGACACTTGAACATGAGTGGAAGAATTAATAGAATGGTTTTGAAGGAACTACAAACATGCATTATTACTGTGTTTGGATTCCAACATTTGCCCTCATATAATTTCTCGTTTAACTGTTTAGAAATGTGTTTTGCCAACAAAATAAGCTAACACTATGTCTACAAGCTTCAAACTAAACATGTGAAACCTTAATATTCTTAAAAAAAATGTGGTTGGTGTAGCCAAGTGTCAAAGTAGTTCTTTTTCTTTATTTTTTGTGACCTAAAAACTCGACTGTGAAAGGAAGGCTAAGAAAAACAATAGGTATGTAGGTTAATACTGTACCAAGTTATGTGCAGAAAGAGGTCAATATTGTACTGCCAAAAAATGAAAAGAGACACACAAAATGGGGTCAGTCAAAATTTATGAAAAATGAAAGGAGACACAAGGTGGACTCAATAATATTAAAATCTTCAAAAAAAGAAAAATAATGTTAGCGAAATGTTTTTCATTTTTATCTATATATTTTTATTTTGAAATTGTCAACTTAAAAAATATTGTTTATTTTTGTGAACTTCTTAACTATGGATTCATAATCCTATTCTTTAAAATTTTGATTAAATGAATTTTTTTTTGTTCTTGTCATAATTGAATCTTAAATTTGTGAATCACTGGTGTATTATTTTGTTTCCTTTTCACATGTATTAGTTGTGGTTGTTATATTCTCCCTTTCTTTATATGTTTTTACATATTATTAATGTTCTCAATACGAGATACTTTCGAACGATAGCATACAAATAACTAATGACAAACATATTCAATAGTCTATTTTATTTTTAGGGTTCTTCATAAGGTAGGTATATACATACATCTTAGTGAAGGATTTCCTATTATCGCATAATAGCTTCCTAATATCGTGAAGTAGAGGAATGTCCTCCTAGGACTGTGGTGGTTAGTACTAGGGGTGATCACGTACCAATAAATCGACTATGAACCAATAAAATCAAAAGAAAAAAATTGATATAGTTAGGGTCGGATTGAGCTTCATGGTATAATAAATTAAAAAATTAGAGTTAAAGTAGTTATTTTTTGGATTGTATAATTTTGTTTTACGGTATTCAAACCCGACCAATTTTATGCATTTTGATTGTAGATACTCAATGTTATTTATTATTATATTATTGCTTCAAATTTTTTATTATTAAACTACAGGTGGCTTGGCATGCTACAGATTAACTAGTTGTACTACAATAGTTTGTGTCCACCGTGTGCTACACATTATCTAAGTAATGTACTGTTGCAGTCTATTTCACAGGACATAATGCATTTCAACTTTTGAAGCCTTATTAATTATGAAGCAAATGAAAAGAAGGTGCCTCCATCACATTACTCCTTCTTTAGTGTCTCCATCGTGTTCAATATCATTTCTTTAAATCTTTCTCATCTTCCCTCATGTTACTCCTTCATTTCCCTCTATCAACAAATGATCTCCACAAGGTTACAATTTTTAGTAACAAAAGAGAACTTGCTAGTAGAGTTATGAGAGTAAAGTGTTTGATCCCAAAAAGGTCACTCCTTAGAGGTTGTTGGTTAGTCACTCACATATCCGACATGAATTAGCTTCATGTTATATCCTTCATTTCTCTCTCTATCTCCCTCTCTCTCTCCCTTTCTCTCTCTCTCTCCATATACATTTCATTGTAGTTCAAAGTGTTGTAAAGTTAAAATAAAATCTTTTTCAATCCATCCGAAATTCTCATTATTTCTCTCATCTAAAACTCGACCAAACTGTAAGCTATCACGATAAAAAAACAAGATAAAAATAACTTTGTTCAATTTTGGTCAAATTAAATATTTTGAACTCGAAATCGACCAAACTCGACTGATAATCATTCGTAGTTAGAATCTCAATCTGAAATGATTAAGGGACACTATATATGTGAATAATTGATAGCAACTAAGGTAAGCCACCGAGGAAGGTAAATTGGTACAAATCAAGTTTGTATACAAGCAAGAGATTCACTTATAAAGATATTAGGTGTTAACTTCAATCCACTCCTAACAGGTACACACAATTGATAATCCTCCAACCATGAGTCTTTTGAAGTGAAGAGACTTGTAGTTAAGATAATAGCTCCAAACTAAGAGTTTGAAGGGTACATAATTTTTTTCCATCTCTATCCTATCAGATAAAGAAACTTATAGTTGAGATGATACCTTAACTTGAAATTTCAAAGAGTACATCGCTAATCAACGTTCATCAAATACTACATCATTGATACCTCAATTTATTTAAGGTTGAATATAATTAATCTACATCACTAATTAAATTCATTAGATTGATTACTCCTTTCAATTTGGATTCAAAGAATATGTTAAAATAGATGGATATTTAATAATATTCATTTCTACTTAATAATCCATGATAATTGTTATAAATCTTGTTTATAATACTAAAGTTTGTCTTACCATATACAAATGGCATGAATATGCTTTTCTTTATATGTCGAATTAGACTTGTAATTAAGATTTGATATATAGTAGACTCTGCATTCATTTGGGTATTCAATTGATCCTTTAACTCTTCCAACAAGAAGATTTATACATTAGATTTCACATTCATTTTTCATTAGGTTTTTATATTGAATTAGATTGATGTGCATAACTAATTCTTCACCTAACAAGAAATAACTTGTGATCTGTGAAGCACTAGCAGAGGTATTATGTATGGTTGGAAGTTAATATATATCATATAATATTTTGCCTTTGAATAGATTGTAATATAGAATCTTCCTGGTGAACTACAAAAGATGACTAGCTTGACTAGTAAACTGGATGAAATGATCAACATCATTTGTATTATTGTTTTCCATATTAGAATAGATATTCAAACATAACATTGGTTGATTATTATACCAATACAAAGCATCCACATAAGAATCAGTTTTTTTATAATGAAAAGTAGCGACAATCTTAATAATATTGTAATTTATATTATAATTTTCATAATTAGTTATTTTTTGTTTTAGGCTCATGTTTGGAAAATAGTAAACGACTTTTAGCTAGCTAGATCATGTCCATGCAAATGTAATATCTCATAGTGTTAGATTCGACTACAAAAACCAATGAACATGTGCATATAGAATGAATAACCAATATCAAAGGAGGATGCTAGCTTGAATATGAAGAACTCATAATGAGCACATTGAATTTCAGTCAATAAACCATCAAAAAAATTCCTTATATGGGATGGAATATTGAGATTTATTAGTCGTGTAAAGCTTTCTCAATAATGCAGTAGCTCTTTTAATATTCACCGAGGCTAGAATTTTAGGCTTAAGTAGACCATATTCTATAGAAATTTCCTAATTCTTTAAAATATAATTCAATTATTTTTTGTTTAAAATATAAAATGACAAATAAATCTCGTTTGAAATATTTCAACAAATATGCTAGAGAGTGTGTGGAATAAGCTATATCAGATCTTCATAATTGTGGTCACATATGCAGTATCACACTTGTAGATCGACATAGTCGCATACCCAATAAAGTTACAAATTTTCATTTGAAAAGAGAGCATAGCAGGATATGTTATTTTTGTACCAGAATATCATAAATAGCGACAACATGGTTGGTGTAAGCAAGTATTAGAAAAATAGTTATTTTCCTTTATATTTTGTGACCTAAAAAATATCTATGAAATGGATGTTAAAGGAAACAAAAGACAAATAAGTCAAATATGTAAAAAAGAAAAAGAAAAATAACACTTAAAAAAAATTGGTTAGCATCATTTAATTTCACTAATTCTATTAATACTATACTAAGTTAGTAAGTTAAGCATGGAAATAGGTCGATATTATATTGACAAAAAATGAAAAGGGCGCAAAGGATGGAATTGGAGCAAAGTTTTAAAAAAAAACGAAAGGAGGCACAAAGGTTGTACTCTATAGTATTAAAATCTTTATTTTTTTTTTTTAATGTTAGCAAGTTGTTTTCCTTTTTATAGATACATCGTAAATTGTCGACTTAAAAGAAACTTTGTTTATTTTTGCAAACCTCTTACGAATCTTATATTTGTGTCACTTGTGTGTGTATGTTTTTTTTGTTTCCATTTTATGTGCATTGTGGTTATTATACTCTCCCTTTCTTTATTTGTTTTTTCATATTATTAATGTTCCAATTATGACATAAATTCGGATGATGGTCTAAAGATAACCGTTGACAAAAATATTCACAAATGTGTTATTATTTGTAGGATTCCTCATAAGGTAAGTACATCTTAATGAGTGATTTCCAATTTTCATATAGTAGTTGCATAATATCATGAAGTAGAGAAAAATCCTCCTACGATGATAGTATTTAGTAACTCAATTAGTTAATGATTAAGGATTACTATTTGCATGAATAGTCCGTATGCAACTAAGGTAAGCCACTAAAGAAAGTAAATTGGAACAAATTAAATTTGTATACAATTGAGAATTTCATGCATAAGGACCTTTGACATTAACTTTAATCCATATATGTGAGAGTTACATAGTTAATAGTCCTTGAATCTATTAAGTGAAAAGATTTATAGTCAAAGTGTTATCTCAATCTAAAGTTCGAATGGTATACAATTTTTTTTTTTATATCGAGCTTATAAGGTGACAAAACTTATAGTTGAGATGATACATTAACTTTAAATTAATTTAAAGAGTACAATTAGATAGTTAAGTTACAAACTATTTTTAGTAGAATTCTTGACCTTTTTCTTCTTCTTTATATTATATCTTAAAGTATAAATTTTTTTTTGGTTAATGTACTAATCATTTTCATATAAAAAGATGAGCATCTTTTGTTTTTAATTTATGATGAATTGCAAATGATTTTTTTACAAGTGAATGTTATTTTGAGATGTTGAAATTATAAAAAGATGGTTGAAATTTTGATAAAGTTATATTATAATTATTTGAAATTTTTATTTTATTGAAAATATCTCTGTATTGAGTAAGCATGTTAGGCTAAAAGTCTAATAAAAAAGTGTTAAGCTAAATGTTGTTTTAAATTAATTTAAATTTTGTGCCAATTGCGACTCCAATTTTAAGTTATGACACAACATTTATTGTAATATGGCATACAAGTATCCTTAAAATATTTGAGTAAATAAGTCAAAGAGAATGTGAAAGTTATCTAAAGTTTTCATAACTGTGGTTGCACATGCAGCAACACACTCATAGATTGACATAACATCATACTTGAGGTTGCAAAATTTTGTTTGAAAGGAGAAAAAGTTGGATATATGGTTTTATACCAGCATACAAAAAGTAACAACAACAATGGTTAGTGTAAGAAGTATCAAGGAAGTAATTATTTTTATTTAGTTATTACAACTAAAAAATTTGGCTTTAAAAGAGATGTTCAAAGAAAACAAAAGGCAAATATGTCAATGTTTTATCAATTCGTATGTAGAAAGAGGTTGATAATGTACTGGTATAAAATGAAGGAATACACAGGTAAATGATGCAGATTCAAAACTGTTGGATCCAGAAACGCTATAAAAAGTGCTATAGGATATCAATATGTTAGGGTGACAATGAATCTATTGTTCTGTTATCACTTTAGAGTCAAAATGGAAATTCATTTTAATATATTAATATATAAGGATATCATGTATCTAGTCTCATCATTCATTTATTTTTAATATATTAAACAACATTCAATTTGTGGTACACCCATAAATCATGTTCATCAAATATTTAAAGTTGAGGGTCACTGAGAACAACATAATTAGGAGGTATAAATGAATTAAGTTATTTGTAAATTATTAGAGACTCAACTCATTATTTATTCATTCAAGCTTGTTTGTTTAAATAAATAAATAAAGTAAAGCATGAGATTAAATTTAACTATTTAAATAGGTTGAGTTAAAGCTTTTAAATATTCAATATTAAGGATCTGTAAATCTCTCTTACACACACTTATACACGCACAATATTTCTTTTATGAAAATAATATTATGTAATCTTCTAATAGTCTAAAAAAATCAATTTCACATATCAAGTACGTGATTCTATTAGTATATAATTATCTAGTATTAAGATAATTATAAATTCTATATTGTAAAGTTAACAAATAATTTAATAAAAAATCATAAAAACAAGTCACGAAAAAATGAGATAAAAAATAATTAAGTTATAAGCGAGCCAAACTAAAATATTTCACTAAAAAAATAATCAAACTCAAACTTAATTTTTTTTAATAAATAAAAATAAAATTTCAATTAATTTTAATTAAATAAATAAATCAAACTTAACTAATTCATAAACTCAAATCAACCCAACTTAATTCGTTTACATTGAATTTGGCCATAGTCCTACTTGTTTAGGGTTTTGACAAGTTAAAAGGAAAGAAAGCACAATGTACAGACGTGTGGTTAATGAGATTTGAGAAGCCTAGTCTTGGTAGGCCCAAAGATACGCGAGGCCCATTTATATGCAACTTGGGTATGTGCATAATAGTTACACGTGGCATATGTAAAAAACATTTACATAAATTTAAATATTCGAATTAAATAAAGCGAAGCAGAAGAAGGGATAAGATTATAAGGAAGTTGGAAATGAGTGAAGAGAGTCTCTGAATTCTGAAATGGGTTTCGCTTTCGCTTACACTGCTTCCACTTCCTCAAACCTCCAATCCCACTCTCTCTTCGCTGCATTCAGATCAAAACCCTCTCTCTCTTTCTTCAATACTTATCCACCCAAACGCATTCGAAACCGTTCTCCAATTATTCGCGCTCAATCCCAAAATGGACCTATGCTTACTTCTGAGAAACCCGACACTAATTACGGAAGACAATACTTCCCCCTCGCTGCTGTTGTGGGCCAAGTAATCATCTCTGCTTCTTTTCCTTCAAATATTATTATTGCTTGCAATAAATACCATAACTCTAATTTGTGTTCAAGTGTTATTAGAAAGCATTACTTGCTACATTTAATGACTAAATATGCAAACCACTGATTCGACTTAATGGCGGGAGTTAGATTAGTATCTATAATATCATAATTTCAAATTCTCATGTCGTGGTTGTAATTTCGACGGATTAAAAAACGACTAAATATGCAAATGATACTCAATTTTGGTGTTTTGTTGAAGGATGAATCTTACAAATTCCAGTTGTTGTGCAGGATTCTATAAAGACGGCTCTTTTACTTGGGGCAATTGACCCTGGGGTTGGAGGAATTGCCATACAAGGAAAGCGAGGAACTGCCAAAACTGTAATGGCACGTGGATTGCATGCGATACTGCCTCCTATTGAAGTGGTGGCAGGTTCCATAGCCAATGCAGATCCATCCTGCCCAGAAGAGTAAGGTCACTGCCTTCTTCCATTTATAACAAAAACTTTACAAGTTTTGAGAAGAATAAAAACACGACTGAAGGTGAACATTGCTTTGTATGTCATAAAATAGAGAAGCTCTTAAGGGAGAAATTCATGGATGTTCTAATCTTGAGGTGATTTTGTTCGTACTTTTTCAGCGGAAAATGATTTGGTCATTCATAATTGATAATATTGTGATGCTGTTAATTGTTCTTACTGTGTACCCACTTGCTAAATTTGCATTTGTTGTCCTTGAGAGATATACTAACTCAGTCTAGTAGTCAGAACTAAAAATAGTAAATCCCTGGGATGCTGTTGAATTCCTCTCTTTTTCTAGTGAAGATTTATGAAATCAATATTTGGTAACGCCAATTGACATAACATCTTATTAATTGGGATGAAGCAATTTTTATTGATCCCTTCTTTTGTTTTTATCCTTGAGTTTTTGTCTAAAAACTGTCTTGGATTCTCCTCTTTCCTCTGTTCTGTTATTTTAAATTTATAAATCGAGAGGTTAATATTTGTAGGTGGGAAGATGGTCTTCCCGAAAGCGTGGAATATGATGCTGATGGAAATATTAAAACTCGTATTATCAAGTCTCCCTTTGTTCAGGTACGGTTCA